ATTTATTTCTCTTATAAGTTTATCTTCTTCGGAGTATCTCGGTGTAGAGTTTTCTTCGGTGTATCTTGATGTAGAGTGAGAGAGAACAAAGAGATAAGAAGAGAGAACAACTAAGTGAGAGTGTGAGATTCCTCTTGTAAGTCGAGGCGATCGACTGGTGTAAATTCCTCAATTAGTAAAATCCTCTGCAACTCCGTGGACGTAGGCAATTTGCCGAATCACGTAAATCTGTGTGTTCTTTTGTGGTGTGATTTTTCTCGTTCTATTTTTCGCTTCATCGATCGTTTTCTTGTTTGATTTATATATATACCACATTAACTGGTGTATATCCATATCTTCTCGCAACACACTTACCCATCTCACTCTCATTCATTCATTTTCGAAGGAGGCCAGGGCATCAAATTGTTTGAGCCCATAGTTATACATGGTTATAAACAACCTTCAAGGTGGCTTTCCTCCATGCCTTGGCGACCTCTCACCTCTCTCAATTTACTAGATTTTAATCAAATCTATCAAACATGATGTATCCCTCTTCTTCAGGACATTTATTCAACCTTGAATAAATATCTTTAGATTCTATTAACTTATATAAAAATATAACACCACTCTTTAGAAAATTATAATTTTTAGATTTACTAGATCTTTGGCATAATAAGCTTAATGGCTTCATTCCGAATTCACTTTCAAACCTCACCTTTCTCATAGTTTTTGGACCTGCAAAATAACAATATGACCAGCACTCTACCAATAATACCTCTTCCTTCTCCTACATTTCCCTATCTTTCAACTAACAAAGTTCGTGAACCAATCCCAACCACCTTGCTCAAACTCTTCTACGTTTGCATTGCTTGAAATTGAAGGAAATTTGTTTGATGGTACCATACACAGTCCAAGAACTTGCAAAAAATACAGCATTAAAAATGGCCCGTTATTTCAACAAAAGCCAAATACACAAATTCAGAGGCTTTAGATTTAATAGTAAATGAATTGTAAATCTAACCACAACAATGTAATTTTTTTTTTTATTAGATTGGTATAGTACATCTGGAAACATACCTATCTAGGTGGGAAATCTCATCAGACTTGACTTGATAAGCCTTAGACTAAATAATGTCTCATGAGAATTGTAAAGTTGAATTCATTGAAAGGATTAGATCTGCATAAGAATATCCTTATAGGTGACATTCCATACAACCTTGACAACCTTTCAAAGTTGACTGTCCTTGATTTACATGACATTCGTTTTAGTGGGTATGTTCCAACTAGTTTAGGGAGTTGTAAACAGCCAGCTAATGGTATCATACCTTCAATATAATCAACTTATAGGCCTCATACCAAAAGAAATTCTTAGCATCAACTCTCTTTCTATGGGCATTAATTTACCAAACAAGTTGGTCCGACCGCTGCCAATCAATTTTGTCATTTTAATAAATCTCCTAGTTCTTAATGTGTCAAATAACAGATTAATGGGCCAAATTTTGGAGAAAAGTGCGTTGAGAGCTCGGACTCAAGCTACGAACGAACAATGGACGTGATACACCCAAATTTTTTTCCCTTCTAGTGCTGTCCAAATGCAATATTTTTTCAAAATTTGGACAATCTTGCTTACTGTGTGCAACTAATATATTTGCATGAAAAACAACTTATTTCATGGATAAATTTATTTCATATCAAGATTTTAGTTAGACTCAACACCAAAATCATTTCAATTCACATCAACTCACCGATATAATGTGATATCAAGTTAAACTTAAAATTTACTTGTTGAACAAATCTATGCATAAATATAAATACTATACCGTTTATACATCACATATTTTTATAAATACTCATTTGGAACCAGATTTTGAGTTGACCGGCATTATATTCGAGCGAATCGAAGCAAACTCAAAATTAAAATTGTAAATCAGCTCAAAGTTGAGCCAAGTTGATTTTAGGTTGAGCCATTTTCAAGCAATATTTTGAGCAATTTTCAAGCTTTATAAACAGCCTTAATCTCATCTAGTATTTTCTCAAGGTTCAACATGCAAAAAAAAAAAAATAATAATAAACTTCAACTCAGCTTCAGCTTCCTCTTTTTTTGTTTAATCACTCATTGCAGAAATTTTTCAGTGATATTTTGGCACACTTCTTGCTGCAAAAAGGATTGCTGCTTCTGTTCTTTGACAGCACTGAATTAGAAGAGCACATCAAAGACTTTTTTGATATGCTTCTGCTGCAAATATTTGGAGCATAATGTAATTTATGATTCATAAGCCTTCCTTCACCATTTCTCTTGCAGTATTTCATCCTCTTACTGTAAGAATTCTCCTTTTTCGCAAGATCTTCAATGCAGCTCACTTCAGATAAACAACTGAAAGACTGTGATTTTCCTTGGAAGCATCGGGACAGCCCTCTTCTGCAAAGATCACAACTTTTCTTCAGTTGCAAAAAAACTTTTTTTATTTTTTTGAAATTTGAGTTTTAGAACACTGTTTTAAGGAAGATAAAAATTGTTCAGAAAGTTAATGAAAGCTAAGAAAACTCACTTGATAGGAAGATTTGCCATGAGTAATGACAAATCAAAGAGATTATCAGAAGAAGAATTTGAGGAAGAAGAAGAAGTAGAAGAAGAAACATCTTCGGTGAGATCGGATGACGAATAAAACACAGAATCATCAGATAATTCACCAGAAATTAAAACTGAATCCATGAACTTGCAAACATCAAAATCTTCTCTTTTACTCATTGGGAAGCCGCAGAGAAATGAAGAACCAGAGAGTTTTGATGAACAATTTTAAGCAAAATATACACCATATAGCCTGTAGATTGTTGCTATAAATAAGAAATGGAAATGTTATAAAAAAAGGGAATCAAGGAGGAGAATTTAGGAGATAAAATGAATTTTTTTGATTCTGGGTTAGTACTGTCTCATCTTATAATTAGTATTTAAAGTTATCTTCTTTTCTTTATTGATGAGAATGCTATCCAATCTTCTGATGAGTTTGAATTGGAGAGGAAAACTGGTGCTGGAGGTGTGGTAAGGCCCATTGGATAAGATGTAATTTTTTTTTTTAGTTCATCCATATCTTGTCACCACATTTAGGCATTAAATACTTTGATTTTTTATATTTTTTTCTATAAAAAAATATTTTTTTTGGAATGATAAGAAGGCATGGGAATAAATTTCTAGATATTTGGCTGGTCCAATGTTCAAGGTCTTGCATATATACATTATGCCCATTTTTTAGTTTAAATTCACTCAAGCTTTTTGGTAGAGCAATCACTCTAAAGGTTGTAAGTCCTCTCTGGTCTCCGGTTCGAATCTCCCCTTATGTAAGATGTAAGATGTGCTACTCAAATATTTAGCACTCCGAGGTATGATCGGAGCTTGTCTAATAGCTTTTAGCAATATATATATATATATATAATATGATGAGTCATTTGTTAAGAAAATCATTGTTTCACATAGTGATGGAATTTTGGTAGATTTGTACAAAAATAATTTTAAATTTCATAAAAAACCATTAAACTATAAGAAAATTTTGCAAATAGATTTTTTTTTTCTTTTTAAAGATTTATTTGTCAAGCCCAAGCTGGCATTATGACTAATTGATGAATTAATCAAATTTGTTGTGTTATCAGTAGAGTTTTCTTTGGCATGATGTTATTCAAACAAATTCAACTGCCAAAAATACTTGTAAATTAAATAATTTTTTTAATTAAGCTATTTACACAAAAAAATTACCCATAAAAACCAATTATTTTTCTTAAATAATTTTCTGAAGAAAAAAATTTCCTTTTATAACTTTAATATATATATATATATATATATAGAGAAAAATTAGGTTGCTTTTGAAAATGAAGTTGGATGAGAAGGGTTGGCAAGCAAATTGT